GTAGGTTTTGTATGAGCCTGGGCACGCACCGTTCCACTTGTGTATTTACACGTGCGTGTCCTGCCCTCCTGCCCACGATGTGAAAATGGGCTCCTGGACTTCGGGCTGCCTGGCCTTTTCACTCCGGGCGTTCTCCCTCCGATCCGGTCCTGGGGGGGGCTGCTTTCCGGCCCCGCCACGGCCATCGGCGAGCACGGGACGAAGCATCGGCATTGTTGGCAGTTTCTGGGCCCACGGAGTGCGCATTGACCGCCCGCTGAGCGGATGATGCGGCTGCTGGTTGGGGCTCTTGCGGAAAACTGCTGCTGTTGCAGGGCAGAGCCGCGCACCACACGCATACAACACCTACAGTGGGGGCGCTGAACAAGGAACCCTTTTGGTTTGGGAGGGGCTCGGTGTTCCTTCCTTGTTTCACAGCTTTCACAGCTTGCCCAAGGTTTTCATGGGGTCTTCCACGCGACATCGAAGCTTAACTTATCAAAGTCAGTGGCCCTGTTCCTTGCTGAGGGTTCCTTCGGTCAACGCCTCGACTGTACCCTGGTGCTACATGTCAACATGTCGCAGCCGAGGCTCGGCCCCGTCGTCTTCCTCGGCATGCTTTCCCGATTCTCCCCGCCGGCCTTTTGAATTTTCGATGCCCTTCGTTTTGTCGAGGCCTTTGAGCCAGAGCAGGCCTCTCTCCCGAGGGAAGGACCCGAGATAGCCTTCTCCTGTCCATCAGCTCCTCCTCCTCTCGTGATCCCCATCGCCCTTTTGTATTGATTCCCTCTTCTCCTCCTCCTCTTCCTCCTTTTTCTCCGCCCTCTTCCCCTTCATTCCCCTCTCCCGTTCGGTGTCGCATCATGTTGATCCCTGTCACCCCTCGCTCCCATTCTTTCTCCCTCCGCGGTCCACTCCTGCCCAAAGTCAGCCTCCTGTCTCCCTTCGTCCGCCCTCAGTTCGGAGTGGCAGTTGGGGACCCTCCCCTAGGAAGCCCCCGTCACAGCTTTTGGTTGAATGGTGTCCCTCAGAAACATGTCCTCAACCCGCGTCCCGTGGCTGTTTGGGGGGGTCTTGGGATCCCTCCGTAGCCCTTCCGTCATGGGCCCCCGTCAAGTTAGTTATTCGGGGAGGGGAGGAGATGGCGGGGCCCCGAAATAACGTTAGCGGCCTTAGCCATATCCTTATTCTTCGATGCCGACTTGCATCGCTCGGACGTGTGCATGCTCTCCACGGCGAGGACCCTGGAGGAGCCTCCTGGACCGTCGAGCACACAAAGAGCACGCACGAGGCCGCACAAAAAAATGCGCAGGGCGCGGCCGCCCGAGCCATGGCGACGCGGGGGCGGCCTCTCCCCTCTGCCGGGCCGCGCCTTGGCCCCGCGAGGGGGGCCAGCGCCCGGGCCTCCCCTCCGTGCGGCCGGGGCGGCGCCCCCGGGGCCGCGGAGGCGCACGCCGCGCCCATGGGGGGCGGGGGCGGCCTCGCAGACCCCGGGGGCCCAGACCCCCTCGAGTGAGGAAGAAATCATGACGGAAGGTTTCCCTTCATTTTCAGCCTCCGGGGGCCCTCCCCGGGCCTCGGGAGCGTCAAAAAACGGCTCAGGATGCAAAGCCTGTCACGGGGAAAGGGTCAGGACCTTTGGGGGTCGACGTAACGAAAAAATTATTACGTCGGGGGTCTGGGGGGGTCGGAGGGCCGCGCCGCCTCGCCGATGCAGCGGCGGTGCGGCTCGACGTGGCGCCCGGTCTCTCCTCCACGCCGACGTCGCCGAGGCACCGCCGAGGTCGCCACATTGCATCGCCGACGCCTCGCCGGCGCGGCGCGGTCCTCCGGCCACAGCTGCTCCGACCCCATCCAGGCTCCCTCCAGTGACGCCCCCCTCGCCTCGCCCAAGAAGCATTTGTGCGGCCAGAGGGAGGTTCGGAGGGCGAGGAGGACGTCACGGAAGGGGAGGGTTTGCCAGGGTTAAGTCGGGCCCGTCCCTCTACAGGAGGAATATTCAACAGTAGTCAAACAATAGTTTTGGTGACTATTTTTTGAGTGTTTTTGAAAACCAGTTTTGAATATTTTTTTTAGTTTTCGTGGACACTTCCCCTGTACGGGGACACGCCCGCCTTGATGCCAGGGGTCGGTCAGGCCGCGCCCGAAGGGGGGGGAGCCCGCCGCGAGGCGGCCCCCCCAGGGAGCCAGAGGCTGCTGTCGGCCACGCGCAGAGGGGGGGCCATCGGCCGACGGTCCCCGCGCCGGATCCGAGGCGGGGATTTATCCACAACCACTCGGGCCGAACGAGAGGGGGGGATACGGAAAGGGTGGGGGCTACTAAATCTGCTGCATGCTGCCGGTTTCGGCCCCGCCGCCGGGCCCATTTCTCGATACATGGGCGCCTCCCGGCGCTGGGAGGCGCTGGGAAAATCAGCTGCGTGAGCTGATTCTCCACCCCCCCCCCTCTTTGCTATATCCCCCCCTCTCGCCCAGCCCGAACCACCGCCTGGGGGATCGAGCTTCGCGGACTTCCGCAGGCGGTGGATATGGACATATTCGGGCCCCCGCTGGGGAACTTTTATTATATATGCTGGCCCCCGCTGGGGCGCCAGGACGCCGATTCCCAGGCGGTGGATGATCCACCGCCTCGCATCGGAGACCGAGAACTCGTCTGCGGGAGACCTCCCTCCCCTCCGACCTCATCCCCGGGGGCCAGCACGCGCGCGCGTGCGCTCCATTTTTTTTCGAGGCCCTGAGCTCCTGGCGACCCTGAGATCCTGGCGGCGCATTTTTTTCGGGCCGGGCGTGTTTCCGCGCTCCACTTCGGGCCCAGGGGCCCTCACATATCGATTCGGCTTGAGAAGTGGCGCAGGAGATGGGGTCCGGGGGTCTCGTCGTGATCTTTTTTACGATGTTGCCTTTTTTTGCACCGTCGGATTTCAGGGCCCAAGGAGCTAGAGGTTGCTTTCGGCCACGCGCAGAGGGGGGCAGGGGGAGGGGGGAAGGCCTCTTGGAAGCACCCCTGCTTCTTCGAAGGCGCGGGACTTGTCCATAGTTGTAGGGCCGGCGCCTTCTAAGGAGCAGCCCCCCCTTCTAAGAAGTCTTCCCCCCCCCCCCCTGCCCCCCCTGCGCGAGCAGCCAGTGCTTTTTATTCCGTGAGCCCGTGGCGTCCGTCACGGGGGCTCGCCCCCCTGACCCCCCTCCTGCGGGAGCAGATCATGAGGGCTCTGTGTGCCTTGGCAAATTCCGTCTTCAGAGTGCAGTGGCGTCAACTATCGAGCGGTGGCGAAGCGTCCTGTTCTGCCTACAGGCCCACCAGAGAATGTTCAACAAACCTTTTGTGGACTGCGAGAAATGTTCTTAGAACGTTTCTGGCTGGGACTGTCTTGCTTTAACGTATCGGCTTCTGTTCTAAGAATCTTGTTTTTGTCTTAGAACACCCTTTGGTTCTAATAGAATTTCGTGGTAGGCCTATAGGAATGCCGTGACGGCTAGCCCCTGAAGACTAGCGTTTGGTGATCCATGATACAGTGCCGGTTAGCGTCGATTTAGCGTCGATTTGTACGATTCGCGTGGATCAGTGCCGGTTGGCGTCGAGTGTAAAAGCGGCAGCAAGATGGTACGGGAGGCTCCTACGGGTTGCCATCGACCCCCCCCCCCCCCCGCTCCCTGTAACGGTATCGAACGTGCGCGGGGGGGGGGGGGGGGCGGTTCCCCGCATAGGGGGCCACATGCGAACCCTACCCCTACCCCCCAGGATTTCTTAGGGGGAGGGTGGGGTTCATTTCATTCGGGAGCTCCCGAACGAAGTGAACCCCCCCCCCCCCTCAGAAATCGTGGGGGGTGGGGGTAGGGTTCGCATGTGGCCCCCTACCGCAGGCATGGCGCGGTGCTCATGGGCATGCCGTGGTGCTGGCAGGCATGCGCCGGTGCTCACGAGTGCGCCGTGGCCTTTCGCAGGCCCGACCACGCCCCACGCCCTGCGGGGCCCCCGGAGGTGTGCACCACCACCGCCTGCCTCGTCCCGTCCCTCCTCCCCAGGAGAGAGGGGAGGGCGATGAGGGTGGAGGAGGGAGGGGGAATGGAGGTGGTGGTGGTGGTGGTGGTGTGTATGATCGGGGGCCGCACACACTCAAGCAGTGGCGAAGCGTCCTGGCTCGCCTATAGCCCTACCAAACAATGTTCTAAGAACCTTTTGACGTTCCCACGAAATGTTCTTAGAACATTTCTGGCTGGGATTGTTTTGTTTTATCATATCGGGTTTATGTTCTAAGAACATGGTCTTTGTTCTTAGAACATGTTTAGGTTCTAAGAACATTTCGTGGTAGGACTATAGGAATGCCAGGACGGTCGGTCCCTGCTCAACACACCCTCTCCACCGTAGTGGACGCCACGCGGGCGGAATACAAGAACCGTCTCTCACGCAGCGAGCACGTCGAAGGAGAACTCGGCCTGCGAGCGGGTGCCCTGCGGGAGTTCTCTCATCCCCCGAGGGCCCCTGGGGATCCGCAGAAGTTCCGGGGCACACCTCAGGCCCTTCGGAGATCGACGAGGAAGGCGCCTCAAGATTTCCGATGGCCAGATCTCGTATCATGTGCGCCTGGTGTATTCCAAATCTCGATCCCGCCCGCCCGCCCGCCTCTCGCCCAGCGCCCCCCCCCTCCCCAAACAGGGCAGCCGAAGCGGAGGTTCCGCACGGTCAATCCGCATGGTGAGGATGGGCAATGCTCCCAGGGCTACCCTTGCGTCCTTGCCTCCTCGGTCCATCCTTGGCCACTTTCGTTGGCCGCACCCCGCTCGGAGAGCTCCGAAAATCGAAGAGGAACAAAACACATGAACGTAAACTTCTGGCGCTCCGCGCAGACTCGTTGGATCCGCGCTGGGAGGTCCCCTGGCGACGCTTCCGGCGCCGCCCGTGGCGCGCTCCGCGCGCCAGGGATGGGGAGTCCGACGCGGACCCCAGAAATCCGCGCGGCGAGCCGCAAGTTTGGGTTTCTGCGTTTTCTTCTTCTTCTTCTTCTTCTGGAAAAGGCCTTCCAAGGCACTTGCATCCTTATCACGCATCCTTACTGTACGGGCTCACTGTGTTCCTTCTGGCTCGAGCCCCGGTTCGAGCGAGACCCGGCCGGTTTACCGCTCGCACGGTCGGACACGCGGCTCGTCCGCCGAGGAGCCCCGGCAGGGGGGCCGACTCGCCCGCGCCGTTGCGCGAAAGCTGATGGGCCTGTTTCTCACCACCACTACCTTAAGTTGGAGGGGGGGGTCCTCCTCCTCTTCGTCCTCCTCCTCCTCTTCGGCCTCCTCCACCTCCTCCACCTCCTCCTTCTCCCCGGCCTCCTCCTCCTCCTCCTCCTCCTTCTCCTTCTCCTCCTCCTCCTCCTCCTCCTCCTCCTCCACCTCCTCCCCCCTCCAACTTATGGTGGTGGTGGTGGTGGAAGACAAACCCATCAACAGCCATGTCCGTGCTGGACCTCGCGTGCAAGTGGGGCGCGCCCTGCGGCGCTGCCGCGGTGCCAGAAGACCCGCCCTCCTCGGGCGACGACCTCCAGGCAGAGCCCCACGGGGGCGCCGGCACGGTGGGCCTCACGCTGATGAACGTCCCGTGTCGGTGTACTCGCAGACGTCCTCGAGCTCATCCACGACTCGGGGTTCCAGGGGCACTTCGACCGCCTCTTCATGCCGATGAAGGCGACCGACAAGCGGAACAAGGGCTTCGTCTTTGTGACGTTCACGGACCCCCGCCAGGCCTTGCTCTTCCAATGTGCCACAGACGGCATGCGGTTCGGCTCCCGCACCAGCTCCAAGGAGGTCGTGGTGGCCTGGACGAATGAGATCTCCGCGAGTCAGACGAAGATCCCAGAGGACACCCAGGTGTTCATGAGCAGGTGGGGCAGGGTGCTGGTCCCTCCGCCGTGTACGTTCAGCCTGTGACTCTGACTCCGGACTCCAGGTCGACTTGATCTCCCCGTCTCGCTTGTCCTGCTCCCTCTCTCTCTCCCCCTTCCTTTCCAACAGTGGTTTGAGCATAATTTGCGTGCTGGTCGCGACTTGCGGACCCTAGCGAGTCACATGTGTGCCACACCCTCGAATATCGTGTCCTTGTTCGGCGTGTTCAAACGCCCTCTTCGTATGGTCAAGCGATGGGGGAAGTATTCTGTGCGGTTGTTCTGGTGGAAGAGGCTCTCGGAGTCGCATTTTACCTTGAGGGCGCACGCCATGTGTGCCTCCTCATTGCGGAGCAGTGGTGCACTATGTTTGTAAGAGTGACTTCCGTTGAGGGAACAGTTCCTTCAAGTGTGGAGCATCGATGCAGCCGCCGTTTTTTTGGGTCAGTACCTGAATATTCATCTCATGCTGTCCAGGGTCTGCCGTCGAAGAAGTTCGAAAAGAATTTCTGTCGCTGTGTACACAGCCACGGTGCGCGCACCTATAGGCTGATTTTGCACCCCTTCTCATGGTCTCCCATCTCTTCACGTAGAATCCAATCCGCGTAATATTTGGGTATTGCTTAGCGTCTCCTTCTTCAAAATTGGGTCGCACACATGCGACTCCAATCTTGTGGCAGATGGGCGGCTCCAGCATGAACTCCCAGCCACGCGTGAGCTGCACGAAAGTATACATTTTAATCAGCGCGTTTGATGTTCTCTCTTCCTCTCCTGCCTACTTCTGGCCCCTCTCCCTCCCCCCACTGCTGGCGCTGGAGTGAGTTCGCCGTGCAGCCGAGAGGGGACTGGGGAGATGAGGGGAGGGGCGCCACCCTCCGCTTCTCTGTTCTCTCCGGCCCGCTGCAGACGGGCAGAGCTCCAGACTCTGAACGCCCCAGCCCACGTATGGTGCCACGCTGCCTCGCGTCAGAAGTCACGTGTCGGGCTGCTGACCGCTCTCGGAAGTGCCCTCTCTCTATCCCCAGATCGCTTCCCATCCTCACCGCCCACCAAACCACCCCGACCCAACCTGAAGGCCTCAACTTGCCCTCCCTTTCCAGTATGGGGTGGGTCCGGGAACATCGAAAAAAACACACATTGAGCCCATACCCCCCCAGCCCGAAATTCGGGTCTTCGGGTTGGGTTGGTGTGGTTTGGTAGGCAGTCACATCCGTCTCCTCCTCCTCCATCCTCGCTCTGCGCACATCCTCTGCCGGAGAGCTCCCGCCGCCTCGGCACGCGCCTCGGCCTGGTCCGGAGCCCAGCTGTCTGACGCACCGGCCACCGTCCAGGCGAGGGGGGGAGGGTCGGGAGATCGGGGGTGGACAGAACCCCCACCCTGACACGTCGATTAGTGAATTGTCCGTTCTCGGTTCTCGAGAGGGCGCCGCGGCCGTTAGTTTCCAGGCTTGCGCCCGCCAGGTTTGGGCCTGAGGTCGTATGCGCTGAACCATGTTTTCCTAAGGGGGGGCCTGTCCATCCCCGAGGAGAGTAGGGATGGGGGAGTGGAGATGAGCAGTATTTTGCCGCTTCTGAAGCGCCCTGGCCTTGTTGTACGCCTGCACGTTGCGGAGGCCTCGGCGGGCTTTTTTTAACAGGTCAAAGATGCTTGCCGAGGTCATGGGTAGACGCACCCAGTAGATCGACGCACAACTGTTAAGGTCAGATGCAAAAAGCAGGTATCCGGGCGAATGACCCAACCATATGCAGTTGAAGGTGCCGCGTGCCGTTGTGGTGGTAGGGGGGCGCGTGCGAACTGTGCCACTGGAGCCTTTGGTGGAGGTCCATATGGGGCCACGAAGCGTGTGAGGGGTGCGCCGGAATGGGTCTGGGGTCCGTGTGCGAGCGTCGCCACAGAAGCCGCAGCGGGTGCGGCGGTGCTAGGCGGGCGCGGCCATGGTAGCCTTCGGTGGAGCTCCTTGTGGGGCCACAGGACGCGAGAGGGGTGTGCCGAAATGGGCAGGGGTGACGCATGCGAACGTCGCCAATTGTGCCTGCACTGAGGCGGAGCGCTCCCCATGGGCCACAAAACGTGCCCGGGGTTGTGCCGAAATCGGTGGGGTGAGTCGCATGCGAGCGTCGCCTCTGGGGTCTCAGGTAGAGCTCCTTGTGGGGGCACGATGCGTGTGAGGGGTGTGCCGAAATTGGTGATGGGGGGGGACGTGTGCAAACGTCACCACGGGTGCCTTCGTTGGAGGCCCCTATGTGGCCACGAAGCGTGTGAGGGATGGGCCGAAATGTGCGGGGGGGACGCATGCGAACACCGCCACTGGGGCCTAAGGTGGAGTTCCCTATGGGGCCATGTGAGGGGTGTGCCGAAATCGGTTTGGGGCACGCATGCGAACGTCGCCATTGGGGCCTTAATTAGGTGGAGCTCCCTATCGGGTCATGAAACGTTTGAGGGGTCTGCAGAAATTGGTTGGGGGCCGCATGCGAACGTGGTCACTGGAGCCTGCGGTGGAGCTCCCTATGGGGCCACGAAGCGCGTGAGGGGTGCGCCGAAATGGTTTGACATGCGGAGGGCAGAGGCAGGGATGAGAGAAGGGAGGAGGGGGAGAGAAGAGGAGGAGGAAGGAGTGAGGAGGGACGCGGGGTGCTGTCTCTTCAAAACGAGAACTCCACACAACAGGATGGTTGGGGAAATTACTCTGGAGAAGGGCCCAACCAGATGCAGCTGTGAATACAGCGTTGTGGTTACCGCTTTCGGTGGAGGCCCTTCTGGGGCCACGAAACATGTGAGAGGGTGCCTTCATAGTGGTGGTCGGTAGTGCACACGAACTGTGCCACTGTCGCCTCAGGTGGAGCTCCCTGTGGGGCCACGAAGCGTGTGAGGGGTGTACCGAAGTGGGTGGCGGGGTCCGCATGCGAACGTCGCTAATGGAGCCTTCGGTGGAGGTCCTGATGGGGCCACGAAACGTGTGAGGGGTGTGTCGACATGGGCGGCGCGGACGCCTGCGAGCTGCGCCACTGGGTCCTTCGGTGGAGATCTATGCGGGGCCACGAAACGGGTGGCGGGTGTGCTGAAATGGATGGCGGGGGCGCACGCGACCGGCACCATTGGGGCCTCGTGCGGAGCTCCTTATTGGGCCACGAAGCGTGTGAGGGGTGTGCCGAAAGCGGCGGGGAGAACGCTGCGAACGGCACCACTGGTGCGTTTTCTATGGGGCTACGAAACGTTTGAGGGGTGTGCCGAAATGGGCCGCGCGGAGGCGTGCGAACGGCACCATTGGGGCTTTGTGTGGATCTCTCTATGGGGCCACGAAACGTGTGAAGGGTGCGCCGAAATGGGTTGCGAGGGCACGTGCGAGCGGCAGGTACCATTGGGACCTTCGGTGGAGCGCCCTATGGGCCGCGAAGCGTGTGAGGGGTGTGCCGACATGGGTGGCGGGGACGCATGCGACGGCACCATTTAGAACTTCGGTGGAGCTCCCTATGGAGCCACGTACCGTGTGGGTGGCGGGGGCGCATGCGAACGGCACCATTGGGGCCTTGGGTTGAGCTCCCTATTGGGTCACGAAGCGTGTGAGGGGTGTGCCGAAATGGGTGGCGAGGACGCATGCAAACGGCACAACTGGGGCATTAGTTGGATGAGCTTCCCATGAGGCCACGACACGTGTGAGGGGTGTGTCGACATGGTTGGCGGGGACGCATGCGAGCGGCACCTCTGGGGCTTTGGGTTGAACTTCTGATGGGCCACGAAGCGTGTGGGAGGTGTGCCGAAATTCGTGGCGGGACGCATGTGATCGGCTCCACTTGGGGCCCTGGGTGGAGCTCCCTATGGGGCCACGAGCCGTGTGAGGGGCGTGCTGGAACGGGTAGCGGGGACGCACGCGAACAGCACAACCGGGGCCTTGGGTGGAGCTCCCGATGGGGCCACGAAGCGTGTGAGGGATGGGTGTGCCGTTATCGGGGGGACGCATGCGAACGGCAGCACTGGGGCCTTGGGGGGAGCTCTCTATTGGGCCACGAAGCGTGTGAGGGGTATGCCAGAATGGATGGCGGGGGCGCATGCGAAGGCACCATTGGGGCCTTGGGTTGAGCTCCTCCTGGGGCCACGAAACGCTTGAGGGGTGTGCCGAAAGAGGGACATGCGGAGGGCAGAGGCAGGGATGGGAGGAGGGAGGAGGCGAATGAGGGAGGAGGAGGAGGCAGGAGGAGGCACGCGGGACGCTGTCCCTTCAGAGGGAGGGCCCGGCACCACGGAAGGGTGTGGGAGGAGAAAGCATGCGAAGGGAGGCCGAGTGTTGTTCAGGTTGGGGTCTCCGGGACCCCACCAAACATAATTGCGCGACGGGGGCCTCAGGCGGGCTCCTGGCGCGCGCGGGACGGGGGCGTGGCGGCGTTCCGGCAGCGCACGGCGGTCGGAACGGGCAGGCAGGCGCACACGCGAGAGCAGGGCGCGAGCGCTCGCAGGTTCGCACCGCACCGCTCGCCGTGAGCGGCGTCGCCCTGGCTCGGTGCCCAAATTTTCCCGAAGGGGCATCCCTGAGATTGGGGATCTGCTCGATCTCGGGGCTAGTGGTCAGATCGTGGGCTGGGCTGGTAGATCTTGGGCTGGTCGATCTTGGGACAGGGCCGGTCGATCTTGGTCGGTCTTGGGTCGAGATCTGCTCGATCTGCTCGTCTTGGGCTAGTCGATCTCAGGGAAAGGGGTCAGGGACGATGACGACGACTAGGATAATGATGCTTCTGATGCTGCTGCTGCTGATGATGCCGACAACGACGATGATGAGGAAGATCACATGAGCGACGACTATGGTGGTGCTGCTGCTGATGCTGCTGATGACGATGACGATGCTGATGGTGGTGATTTCGATACTGACGATGACGATGACGATGCTGCTGCTGATGATGATGACGATGATGATGATGACGATGATGATGCTGATGACGATGATGATGATGATGATGATGATGATGATGATGATGATGATGATGATGATGTTGATGTTGACGATTATGATGGCGCTACTGCTGATGATTATGATGTTCCTTATGATGATGCTGATGCTGATTATACTGATGATGGTGACGATGATGATGATGATGACGATGCCGATGCTGACGACGATGATGAGGAGGGAGCGGATGATGATGATGATGATGATGATGATGATGATGATGATGATGATGATGATGATGATGATGATGATGATGATGATGATGATGACTGTGATGCTGATGATGTTACTGGCGATGCTGATGATGATGATGCTGTTGATGATGCTGAGGAGGAGGAGGCGTATGATGATTAGGACGATGAGGTTGATGATTATGATGATGGTGATGATGATGATGCTGCTGGTGATGATGTTGTTGATGATGATGGCGATGATGATGATGGTGATGATGATGATGATGATGATGACGACGATGATGATGATGATGATGATGATGATGATGATGATGATGATGATGATGATGATGATGATGATGATGATGATGATGATGATGATGATGATGATGTTTTTTGCATTTCCGCCGTTGTATCTCGAGGTCGAGAAGGGCCATGGGAGACAAGGAAAACGTGCTAGCACGTGTAGGGCACCACATTCACAGACCGTCAAAGGCCCGGTCAATAGTGGTCACCCGGTGGCTGCTGCATGCACGACGATCCTGGATCTATATATGCGTACAATGCGAGACAGTTCTTGGACAAGCGTGCAGGCTGCTCTAAGCTTCGCTTCGGTGGAAGTGGCACCAGGGAGGAAAACTGACCCTTGTCGAAAGCAGTGGAACTCACCAGAAGCTTGGTCCCAGCAAGATATATGCCACCCGGCGCCTGCTAGGGGGCCTTGTTTGCCTCCGTCGAAGCTGCACTGGAATTTCACGGGGTTGGCTGGGTCGAGGCGGAAGCCGGCACTGAAATCCGAAGTGGAATCTCCTCGGTCTTGGATTGCCTTCGTCGCCATCCGGTCGGCAGCTGCATTGCCCTCTCGCAATTTGTGTCGGAACCAGAGACCACCGTGCCGGGCCGTGCGGATGTGGAACTCGTTCCAAAGCTCCCAAAGACTTGTCTGCAGTGTGGAGACCAGAGCCCTGTAGTAAGGCGAGTTGATCCGGAGCGTGCCATTGATCCAGCCGACCACGGTTGAGTTGTCGCCCCAGCAGTCCGCCAGGATGCACCACTTCGTCGGATGTCTCCAAGTGATGGGAGCATCGATGAAAACTCGTCTACGTTTCTTCTTTTGTTCGGAGTCTAATGCGGAAGCTTGCGCCCGTTTGTCCCTTTCTTCTCGGAGGAACTCGCCGTTGAGACCCCATTTCTGCAGGACGCTGTACACGAAGTCGTCTTCCTTTTTGGCCCACTCTGCGGTTTCGTATGCGTATTTCCGCCAACCAGTCCCGTAGTGAAGAATCAGGGGGTCTTCCCGTGTCGAACGGCGTTTCCACCCCTTCCGGTGGTTCCACTTTCGTAACACACCGTCCTCGTCGAGGAATTGGCCAGCGCTTCCCAAGGCTCGATTGATGCCCGATGTGACTTGCCAGCCATCTTCCGCGAAGGAGCTGAAGACTGCATTGACCCAGCGGGCCTGGACTGAACGTGGCTGTTCGGGCTCGGCTAGTTCAGGGTTGGGGTCGAAGAGGTGGGAAGCAAGACGATGAATACGGATAAGTACCAGCTCGACTACGCTCTGGTGGCCGGCCTGTCTGTAGAGCTGTCTTGCCGCTTGCGCGGCACGACGCATGTAGTCGATCCACTCCTCACCAGGTCGTCGAGGAATGCGAGCCGTGCGGCGCAGCAGACCGCCTTCGAGCTGGGAGAGCCTTTGGAGCACGCACTTGGACACGAACCAGCCGTCGCAACCGTAAAGAAGACACGGAACAACTTGCTCGCTGAATCGTCGGAGCCTTTCATTGCGGGGTAGAGCGGTACAGCGGAAAACCGGTTCCGACCAGAAGAATTTGATTGCTTTGCTGATGCGATGGTCAATGGCGGCTTTCGTGCAACCTGTGTCGGCGATGCACACACCCAACTGCACCGAGGAGTTCACCCTGGATGCGATCATTCGGCCATTCCGGGGAGGAGTTCCAGAACCTTCAGGCGGGAAGGCGACGTCGACCGGGATACTCTCAGGGGCATGCGGGTCTGTGCTGATGTACTCCAGGGACCCCTCTTTCCAGTACAGGCCGTACGTGGACATCCTGGTCGTGAGCTCCTGCAGCATGATGGCAGCATGTTCCGCACTGCCGCTGAGGAGGAAGAAGTTGTCTGCCCAACATAGGTGAGTCCAGATTTCGTCTAGGAGAAGTACGCCCATGCCCCGAGACTTCCAAGAAGATGCCAAATCGCCGAAGATGCTCTGTGTGATAACATTCCATTTCGCTGGTGCTTCCGGCGTTCCCTGGCGTTCCGAAGCGTTTTGCTGGATAAGTAAATGCTCCAGGACACCGTCAAACAACACCCAATTTTCCATAGATCGACCTTCCCGGAGAAGGGCAGCGGCGAGACGGGGTGGCAGGCGGCATGCCCGAAGGGCTGCAGAGACGATGGACGCGTGCATGAAATCGAATGCTTAGTGCACGTCCCCCATAATGATGTGAATAGGTATGCGGTCCGGCCACGACTTACTGAGAAGTACCCGTATTGTTTCCGTAATCGGTGTACATGCCATGCCGGGGGTAAAACCAAAAATGCAGATATCTCTGTGTATACGTTTATGTGGCCCGTCCCTATCCCAGTATAGATGTAGTATGGAGCACGAGTACCATTTGAGAATGACGCTGGTAAGGCTTATACCCCGAAGCTGCTGCATGGAGTTCGCCCCAAAACACTTGGCCAAGAAGAGAACCACAGCGCGACACCAATCCCGAATAGGCTCCCCCACCCCTCCGGCGAAGCGTGCACGAAAGAAGTTCCCTATCTTATATACCACCTCCGTGGGGAGATTCTTCACCATCTCGGTCGTGACTTTGTCCATTCCTGGGGTGCTGCCGGCTTTCAGGCCGGACAGGCCGGCCAGTACGTCGGAAATGTGCAGTTCCACATCCCTCGAAGAATCAACTTGCTCCAGGAAACCTGCGATGCAGGCAACAAGGTCGTCGTCCGACCAGTGCGGGTCCATGTACACGTTCGTGCAGTGCGTGAGTATGATATCGTACCACATGCCGTGATCATGAACGTGGGTACCATCGGGGCCCCGCAGAGACTTCAAAACAGGCTTTTGCAGTTTAGTCGTAGCCGACGGGGTGCTATGGCGTAGTATGCTGCGTTTCCATTGCCGTTGAGCTTTGCGTAGCCTTTTGCGGACCTCCTGCTTGCAGTCGATCGGGCACGCACGTTCCTCGGCTTCCAACTCTTTCACAATGGGGGGTTTCTGCCGAATCTTCCAGGATCTCGAGGAGGCCGTCGTGAAGGGTAGGTTTAGCGCACAGGAAGAGATTGCCTCGGAGACTTCACCCAGCTCGGTGACCCCCTGGAAGGCGTCCTCCACGTTTTCGCGGTATTTGTCTAGATCAGCGTCTTCGACGCACCACCCCCGGACGCTTGGCTCTCTGAAGGCGTAGCCGATGTTGGAGGAGGAGCTGGAGAGGACAACCATGAGCGGGAAGTGGTCGAAGCGACGGCCGGACGGTGCTGTGAGCTCCACCTGGTTTCTGATGGCATATCTGGACGTAAGGCGAGAAGACACGGCAATATAGTCTATAACCCCACGTGTGCGATGTACATGATGGCTGTGTGTGGTGTGGTCAGGGAGGTCGGCATATGTAGAAGAGAGAGGACAACGAATATAGCCCAAGAATTCGATAATGAGTTGTTGACGTTCGATATAAGGACCAGAACCCCGAGAGCCATCGGCACCGGGACCACTGATGTTTTCGATGTGAGGAAAATGCGTATTGAGATCGCCTCCGAATATATGAGTATGCTGATGACGATGCTTATGATGCTTATGATGCTGCTGCTGCTGCTTTTGCTGATGATGCCGACGATGATGATGATGATGATGATGATGATGATGATGATGATGATGATGATGATGATGATGATGATGATGAGGATGATGATGATGATGATGATGATGATGATGATGATGATGATGGATGGTGATGATGATGATGATGATGATGATGATGATGATGATGGTGATGATGATTATGATGATGATGATGATGATGATGATGATGATGATGATGATGATGATGATGATGCTGATGCTGCTGCTGATGATGATGATGATGATGATGATGATGATGATGATGATGATGATGATGATGATGAGGATGAGGATGAGGATGAGGAGGAGGAGGAGGATGAGGATGAGGAGGAGGAGGAGGAGGGAAACGGGGATCTATAAGAGAAGATTGAGTACAGTGGTGGAGATGTAGCATTTGACGGAGGAGGAGGAGGCAAGAAGAAGCGGACAATGGCAGAGGAGATGGGTAGCCAGGAAAAGGTGGAAGAGACGGAGGAGGCGGAGGAGGGGATAGGAGGCGGACGAGGTAGGATTATGGTTGAGGAGGAAAACATGCAGGAGGAGGAGACGGAGGAGGAGGAGGAGGAGGAGGAGGAGGAGGAGGAGGAGGAGGAGGATGAGGAGGAGGAGGAGGATTCTTTCACGCCGCGTGTCTGCCAGAGTGGGACTGCTCCAAGCGCTCGGCCGTTGCCCTAGCCCGCGCGCCCTCCTCCCCTCCTCCACATTCTCAACCTTCTCCTTATGGGCGTGCTGGAGAGGGCCTCGCATTCGAGGCATCGGGAAGGCGACCTCACATCTGGCTGGCGGGAGCGACAGGTGCGCCCCCCCCCCAAGAGGCTGCCAATGGGTTTGGTTTCAGGGTCTCCAGAACCTCTTCTTCTGCCTTGCCCCGATGCCCTGGCTTCCAGGGCGAGCGTCCCGGAGCGCTCTGAATCGGCCGCGGCGCCCGATGCTTCTTCCAGAGCCGCCAGATCTCACAGATCCCCGATCTTTCCCGCTCCGATTCCGTCCTCCCTCCCTCCTCCTGGTGAGCATCGGCATCGCAGTCGTCGTCCTGCCTGCGGCCCGCGCCGGCCGCCCTCCGAGGACGGGCGCCCTGCGGCAGATGGAGTGGTGGCCCGCGGACAGGACGGCCACCTCCCCCCCCCCGCGGGCGTTCGCGCCGCCGAGGGCTGCTCCCGCCACCGCCGACCGCAGGGGTGTCAGTCGGGCGTGTCCCTCTGCACGAAGGACGTTCGAGAGCAGTCAGAGCATCGCCCGGGAACCACCTTTCGGCCACGTTTCGCACCCTGGGGGGCTGTCTTTTGGCGGCGCTGCACCTGCCCTCCGGGAGCAGCCCGCGGGAGGCCATGCCCCAACGACGGGTGCTTGGTCGTCGGCGGGGCGCCAGGGAAGGCCAAGGGGGGAGGAGGGGGCGGGCCTTCTCGGCAGGCGGCGGGGCTGCGGAGCAGGCTCGGGCAGCCGCGTTTTTTGTTTGTTTGTTGTTTTTGTTATGTTTTGTTTTTTGTTATATGTATCTATATATGAAAAGGCTCGGGCAGCCGCTCGGGATGCCCGGCGCCGTCTGAGCCCCCTGGGTCGGCCCGCCCTCTCTGCCTTCCCCCCCTGGGGCGCGCCGCCGAGAGGTCGTCAGGGTCGGGCATGTCCTCTGCAGGAGGAGCATGCCCAAATAGCAACATAGCAGTCTGGGGACGACCTTTCGACTAATCTGGGTCACTTCTGAGTATTTCTTGACCATCTTGTATTTTTGCTCTACAACTCCGCCTGTGGGAGGACATGCCCGACCCAGAGATAGTTTTGCCTTGGGCCATCCTGGGCCACGGGACGGTGTAAGACCCTCCTGGCCCTGGCCAGGAGCCCGTCTGCGGTCGGTGCATGTCGTGCCGATTCGGCCGCGACCCCAGCGCGGGCGCCCAAGGCTGAACGCCGCTGGCGTCCAAGAATCGGCCAATGTGGAATGCTCTGGCGATCGAAGAGTCGCCGATCGTTGAAGGGTGAATGATCCCAGGGGTGTCAGAAACCAGCGCCCCGGTTGTCACGACACGAGGCCTGCCGTGTACCACACTATGGCCCAAGCCAGCCCTGTCTGAGCATCGTTGTGGGCCTTGCCCAGGCCCGCGTCGCCGACTTTTCGCACATCGTGGACTTCTGGTGGACTCTGCCCCTTTCCGAGGATCTTTGTTTGTTCCTGAGTTGTTTCGTGACGGTCTCGGGGCCAGGAATCAGGACCTGCGGAGGCTAATAGTTACCACAGTGTGCCAGCCTTCATTTTTTTGCTCTGCGAGGGGTCCTGGGCCCCTCTCGCCATCGCCCCCACCGAACCTCCTCCGTAGTGCGTTCAGCTGTCAGCCGTGGCGATGAGGGCGCCCCCAAAGGTTTTCAAACCATAGAACAAGCCGCCCACAGACCTCGATCCTCCATGGATGATCAGAGGGTGACGATGCCCGGAGAAAAAGTGTCCACACCGACGGCGAGAAGGCAGTCAGACATGATGGCAACAACAATTGCAATCTACATTTGACTCGCCCCCCCAAAAAAAAACGAGGGGCGGGGGCTACGGATATTTGTTCGACTGAATTCGATGTCGTATCATCTTAGCGCGATGGGTGTGGACACTTTTTGTCCGGGCACCGGAGGTATCGCATGAAGCCGGAGTTCCCACGGCTCGATATCTTCGAGCCTCCAGGCCCTGGCCCTCTCGGCTTCTTCTCAGATCGGCTCTTCATCGCGAGTCTTTCTTGGCGTTCCCGGGGCCCGGGCACTGTTTTTCTAAAGGCCGAAGATGCCGAAAGACTTGAGGCTCGGTAGGTTCGAATCTCTGGAGGTCGGTGTATTTACTTGCTGTACTGGTCCAGGCCCGCTGAAGGCGGGTCCCTGGGCCTCTTCAGGGTCCACCCTGGCTTGGTGTTCATCCCAGGTCGACTTCAGATGGCCCCAGGTCCCGAAAGGGGGCCATGAGGCCGAAAATGCCCAGAGTCCTCAAGCTCGATATCTTCGAGTCTCTGGAGGCTGGGGTAGGTAGCTGATTTTCTGTGTTCAATCATGGACGCCCTGGTAAGCGCAAGAGCCCCTCTTTCGCGCGAAAGGCCGCAGATATTGCCAACGACCGCCGAACACGGCCGAAAGCGGAGACGGCAGCCGGAGGCTCCTGTGGTCGAGCCTGCAGGCTTGCCGCGAGGACCCGCCGGGAGCTCCTCCGAGCCCCCCTGGTGCGAGCCGCAAGAGCCAGCAGGATGGCACTGACCGCCCACCAAACCACCCCAACCCAACCCGAAGGCTCAACTTTACAGTCGATTTCCATTGGGGGGGGGTCGGGGAACATCGAACAAAACACACGTGGATCCCTTACCCCCCCCGACCCGAAATTCGGGTCTTCGGGTTGGGTTGGGGTGGTCTGGTAGGTATCGACGACACGTAAGAGTGGCCTTTCGCCGGAGTGACCTGTGGTGCTGGCCCAGTGGGGCCCCCCGATCGCAGAACTCGGTGCGGTAGCAGCGTCTTGCGCGCCCGTGTTCGGATCCCCCCGCGGCCCCCCAAACGCCGCGCACCAAAGCTCTTGCGTGTCGTCGGTAGGTAGTCCAGATTTCGTAATAAAAGGGAGGGGGTCTGGACCCTCCAAGACAAGCCATTTCAGACCCCCCCTCGTGGGAGAACCCTCCAAAACATCGTCCCCAGACCACCCCAGGCCCTCCGAGATAGCCTGGAAGAGACCCCCCCCGAAATGAGGACCCCCCTTCCTTTATTACGAAACCTGGAGTAGTCAGGCGCGGGAGCCCCCCACGAGCTGCCGCAGGAGGACGGGCGGCCGGCGGCTCACGCCCGGCCGGGCCCGCAGGCCGAGCCGCGAGGGCCCGCGTTCGGGAGCCACCACCTTACCAGCCTCGAACGGATCCCTGTCCCTAAGATTGACACGCCAAGAGGCGATGACAATCTTAGGGATTCGCCCTCCGAAAATAAGGGAATCCCTAAGATTGGCATCGTGATGAGGAGGTGCCCGGCACAGGGATAGGGATATGCTCCGGGCTGGTGACCTCCGAGACCCCCCTGCACGGCGCGAGTGCCCGGGCAGGCCACGGGCAGCGGTGCAAGCAGCATCCACACAGACGCTGGCCGAGCAGCGGGCACGCATCGGGGGGGGGGGGCTCCTCCTCCTGCTCCTCCTCCTCCTCCTCCTCCTCCTCCTCCTCCGGCGTGGCGGCGCCGTGGCGCGCTCTGCAGCTTTTCGGCGGCGCACCCAGGGGGGTGGTGCGAGGGGAGCGGCCTCACCTATGCAGCGGAAGCCCATGCCGGGAAGCACCCTGCTTGCCGCCAGGGGTGCCCTGGGTTTCTTGGGCTTCGATGGTCTTGCTAGGGTGAAGCGTGACGTTCCCACACCAAGACACAAGGGACGTCCTGGGGTTCCAGGGTTGGATTTCTTGGGGAATGTGTCTTGTGGTCGAGCTCCTACTGTATGAGAAGGCGGGGGGCTTCTGAGAAGGCAGGGGCCTTTAAGAAGCCGCCCCTCCCCCCGCCTTCTGATAGAAAGGTCGCCCCCCTCGCGCCACCCTCTTGTGCGCGCCGCCAATCTTGACAGCTCCACATCTCGCTCGAGTTCCGTGTTCTCTGGAATGTCTGGAATCGGAGAAGAGCGTGGTCAGCCTCCACAGGACCCGCGAGCGTGGCGTTGCCGGTCGACGAGTGTGTGTCCCCGTCGTCCGTTGGCTGTCCGTCGCCCGTCTCCCGTTCGTGGCGGTGGCCGCGGAGAAGCGTGGCCCGGCCCCACGGCCGCGCGCGAGAGCACCTGAGGTGGTGAGTGGCGAGGCCGGCCGAGGCCGAGGCCGGGGAGCGGCGACGCGTCCTCTCTCCTTGTGGGCGCCCACGGCGGCAAGGGAGAGAGAGAGGCCGCCACCAGCGGACGTGCGGGCTGCGTGCAGCAACGTGCAGAAGGGGGGCAGGGGGGGAGGGGGGGAGGCTTCTTAGGAGCACCCCTGCTTCTCAGAAGGCGCGGGCCTCGCCTAGGGATGTAGAGCCCGCGCCCTCTAAGAAGCGGCCTTCTGAGAAGAGGCCTTCCCCCCTTCTCCTTGCCCCCTGGTGGTGCGCGCCGCCAAGCTCGACCGCTGTCTGACCCCCTGGCTGACTGCCTGTAGGAGAGCGTTTCTTTTATTCCCAGGCGGCAGCGGGCTTTCCCTGGGGGGGCGGGGAGGGGGGGTGGGGCGGGAGCGTCACGTTTCGCGCCGGCTCCGTCTGGGAATGTCTCAGAGAGAACCCAGAACACAGTGGAGGCCAGCCGAGCCTTGACGTTACCCGCAGGGGAGGGGGCGGCCGGGGCCAGTGACGGCCGGTCTCGCGGAACATGGGAAAACGCTCTCCAGCCGTGCATCCCTGGCAGACGCGTGGGCAGAGTGAGAGGAACAGTTCAGCAGAATGCGCAGGTGCCCGTGCACACGGGCTATGTACGTGCGCATGTCCAGAGGCCAACACGTTCGCGGGCACCCCAGGCGGCCATTGATGTGCAACACAGGGCGACGGCGGGCTCGCAACGCGCGCCCTGCAGTCGCAACGCGGGAGCTCGGGGCTCTACGGGCTACCGTGGGCCCAACTCGAGGAACGGGAGGTCCTCGAGGGCATCTGCCGCTGCGACGTTGGACATCGAGAGGGACGCGCGGGAGGGACGTGGACATTTTTTTGTGCGCGTGGGCGCCTGGTCACCTCCGATCTTTTCGTGCTCCGATTCCTCCCCGCTCCCACGTCGGACCCCCTCTCGTACCCCCCGCGAGTTGGGCAGCGTGGTTCCCTAACCCTGCAGGCCCTGCTGCCGCTGAGCTGGCCGCCACGCGCGACTTTTCCACTCTACAGCCTGCCTGACTTCGCCGCGTTGCTGCGCGCATGGCCGCGACGTCCCACAGTATTCGCGTGGGCAAGGTCAGAGCCGTGACCGACAGCGGATGGCCGCGGGCGGTGCGTGAGGGGTCCTCGCCGTCCTCGCTTCGGCACCGCGTGCAGCTAGCACGAGAGTTGGGGAGCGTTCGGAGTGTCTCGTGGGGCCTTGGCAAAGGGACACGTGCTCTTGATCCGCGTTCGTGAGGCCATGCTTCGATTCTGCCCAGGCATCCGGCGCCCTTTTTTTCGCAACGTAGCTTTCCAGAGGCCTGGGCCCCTTCCCCGTGGCCAGCTTTTCATCCTCGGCCGTTTTTGTTGGCGGCCCCGGGGCCTGTCGAGGGCCCCTGGAAGCCGAAAACGGGCAAACACCTTCTGTCGTGTTTTGTTCACGACGCGAGCATGTCTGGGCTTCGCCTGAACTGCATCCTTCCCCCTCGGCCCATCCTCGGACGCTTCCACTGGCCGCGCCCCGCTCGCGAAATGGCTTTCCAAGGCCCTTGCATCCTTATAGTGCGTCCTTCCAGTCGAGCATCTGATTAAGAAACCTCCCTCCGAAAAGCTGGGTCAGCGTTTCTTAACCAACCTGCCGGAAAGCTGGCCCAGTTTCTGGAGCACGTTCGCCCTTCCAGCATCGAGAGCAGAACTTGGCCCAGGCTTTATTCAAGAAGCGCTCGGGAAGTTGGTCCAAATTTCTTAAATGATATGTTTGTTAATCCGATTGTCGTTTGTATCTGGCCCATTCTTGGCCGCTTTCGCTGGCCGCGCCCCGCTCGCAAAGCGCCTTCCAAAGCCCTGGCATCCTCATCGTGGGTCCTTATTGCACGGGCTGACAGTAGCCATCCGGATCATCCGGATGAGGGAAGCAATTGAGCAACCCTGCCCCCTCCCCCGCAATGCAAAGTTGGCGCGTTCCTGGAAGACCACTCGGATCCGAGCCCCAGATCGGAAGATCCGAAACCAACGCTGCATTTTAGGGGGGGAGGAGTCCAAGCCATACAGTGGAGACCATGCCAAGAAACACCCTGCGTGCCTCCAGGGTGCCCTGGGTTTCTTGGATTTCGATTGTTTTGCTATGGAAGGCGTACCGCTCCAACACCAAAAGAACCCATGGAAGTCCTGAGGTCTCAGGGTCTTGGGCTTCTTGTGGAAGATTTTTTGTGGACTGGCCTCCACGGTATGTTCTGCATGATGGTTGCTTACTTTCAGGCGATCGCAAACATGGATCAAGGGGGCGTGGATTAGCGACGGGTCCCGTTTCCGTGGGAAGTCGTGGATTTCCGCCGCCGAACGAGGCGGCATTGGCCGCATTTTGGGGAGGGCACCTCCCCCGATCCATGGATTTGTGGCGACCGCGCGCCAAGTCTATGTGGATCGCTCGTCCATGTTTGCGCGCCCCCGAACTGTACACATGCTCTGCGTGATGGTTGCTCACGGTGGGGGCGTTGTTGAAGGAATATGCCCAGGAGGCTGCAGACCCTGGAGGGCTCCTTCTCTGATGAGGGCGGCGGTGATGTCCACGGCCGATCCACGATCGACGCCGACGCCGACGCCGACGCCGACGCCGCCGCCGACGCCGCCGCCGCCGACGACGACGACGACGACAACGACGGCGACGACGACGGCGACGGCGACGGCGACGGCGACGGCGACGACGACGACGACGACGACGCCGCAGGCTCCGCGCGCTGGGCGTGCCGGTCGACGCGTGGGGCCCGGAGCTGGCGGGCCTCGCGGGCGCGGCCGGCGAGGCCCCCGGCGAGAGGCCGCCCGCCGCCGTCGCCGCCCGCCGTCGGCCGTCGGTCGTCGGCGCCGTCGTCCTCGTCGTCGTCGTCGTCGTCGTCGTCGTCGTCGTCGTCGTCCTCGTCGGGCGTCGTCGTCGTCGTCGTCGGGCGTCGTCGTCGGGCGTCGTCCGTGGACGTTGGCGTCGTCGGTCGTTGTCGTCGTCGCTGCCGCCGTCGTCGTCGAGCTTCGAGGATCGAGGCTCGACGGCCGAGCTGGTTTCTGCTCCCAACCTTCTTCCTCATCCTCCTCCTCCTCATCCTCCTCCTGCTCCTCCTCTCCTCCTCCGCCTCCTCCTCCTCCTCCTCCTCCTCCTCCTCCTCCTCCCATTCCTGCCTATGCCCTCCGCATGTCAATCATTTCGGCACCCCCTTCACGGGGTTCGTTGCTCCATAGGGAGCTCACGCCCATTTTCCGGCACACCTCTCGCACGGTTCGTGTCCCCATAGGGAGCTCCACCGCGGGCCCCAGTGGCGGGGTCCGCATGCGCCCGACGCCCGTTTCGGCACACTTCTCACACGGTTCGTGGCCCCATGGGGAGCTCCACCGAAAGCGGTTCCCGCAACGCGGTGCTCGCGACAGCGCATGTCTGGGTCCTCCGCCCGGATCATTTTGTTGGCCTCTCTTTTGGGCCTCTGTCGCCGGCGCCGTTGCCGTCGCCGTCGCCGTCGTCGTCGCCGGCGGCGGCGTCGGCGTCGCCTTCGAGAAGATCGTGACATCGTGACGGAGTTTCTTCTTCAGGGCCACGCTTCGGGCTCCGAGGCCGTCAGAATCCGGTCTGGGGTCCGGGGGGTGGCAGGCCGGCCACCGCCGCCGTCGTCGTCGCCGCCGCTGTCGCCGTCGTCGGCGTCGTCTCCGAGGCGCAGGAGGAGGAAGGAGGGTCGACGTTTTTGAAGACTCCCGCCCTGCCTTGATGGGTCTCTGGGAGGCTTCTCGAGGCTCTTGTCAGAACACGCCCCAGTGTAGTCTTGTCTCAGACTTCCAGGCGTTGCAAAAAGCGCGCGCCGAAGGATTCTTTTTGATTTTGGTTCGGTGGGCCGTTTCTCGCGCCCACGGACTGAACCAGGAGAAAACCCGGTCAGGATGGACCCCAGGAGAGGTCTAGGGACATGTTCATATGTTCTGAATTGATGTTGGGTCGTCGTCGCCTCCGCCGTCGTCTCCATCGCCGTCGTCGGTCGTCGCCGTAGTCGATGTCGCCTTCGAAGCGCAGGAGGAGAGGGCATCCAGGTTTGTGGACATTTGTCGACCCCTCTGGGGGCCTCAGGAGTCTTCTCGTCGCCACAGTTGGGTTCCCTGCAGAATTTTGGGCAGAATGCGCTCCATGGGAGGTCCAGGGGTCGCTGTTTGACCCCTGGGCCCAGGTCTCAGCCGTCGCAGCAGAAATCGTCCCGGAAGCTTTACTGGCTCTGGCTTCAGCATCCTGCTGATCAAATATTGGTTTGGGGTCAGAAATCGGCCTCATGGACCCTGTGGATCCGGTTTGACGGGATCTTGGGTCGTCGTCGTCGCCGCCGCCGCCGCCGCCGCCGCCGCCGCCGCCGCCGTCGTCGTCGTCGTCGTCGTCGTCGTCGTCGTCGTCGTCGTCGTCGTCGTCGTCGTCGTCGTCGTCGTCGTCGTCGTCGTGGTCGGTCGTCCGCCGTCGTCACCGCCGCCGCCGTCGAGGATCGAGGTCTGAGGGGTCGAGGCTTCTGGTCCTTTGGGGGCCTTCTTTGAGCCTCTGCGAGGTTGCTCGCGGCCACGGTTGGGTCCCTCGCGAAATCCTAGCCAGAACACACCAGGACAGGTCTTGGGGTCGTCGACGTCGTTGTCGTTGTCGCCGTCGCCGTCGTTCGTCGTCGTTGTCGTCGTCGTCGCCGTCGTCGTCGTCGTCGTCGTCGTCGTTGTCGTCGTCGTCGTCGTCGTCGTCGTCGTTGTCGTCGTCGTCGTCTTTCGTTGTTCGTCGTCCGTCGTCCGTCGTCGTCGACGTCGTCGTTGGCCGTTGTGCCCGCCGCCGCCGGTCGTCGTCCGACGTCGTCTTCGTCGTCTGTGATCGCTGTCCGCCGCCGCCGCCGTCGCCGACGCCGCCGCCGCTGTCGCCGCCGCCGGCGCCGCCGCCGCCGCCGCCGCCGCCGTCGTCGTCGTCGTCGTCGTCGTCGTCGTCGTCGTCGTCGTCGTCGTCGTCGTCGTTGTCGCCTTCGTCGTCGTCGTTGTCGTCGTCGTCGTCGTCGTCATCGTCGCCACTGGACGCCGTCCGTCGTCCGTCGTCGGCGGTCGCCGCTGGCGGCGACCGCGGCGGCGAGGTCGGGCACCACCAGACGAACGGCGGGCCGCGGGCCACGGCCTCCTCGGCTGCGCCCAGCGCGGCCGCCCACGATCGGAGTGGGTGTGGTTCGATTCGCGGGCTGGGCCCGCGACTCCGATGCGGCCGATTCGGCCCAGTCCACGGGCAGCGTGCGGGGCCAGCCGGAGCCGGGCGCCGCGATCCGAGTTCGATGCGGTGCGGGGCCATGCGCCGGCGATCCGCTCCGATTCCGCGACGCGATGCGGCTTCGCGCTTCGATCCAGCCCTCCGGCCGGCTCGGGATCGGGGAGGCGGCATCGAGCGCGGGCCTGTGAGGTTCGAGCTTCGAGCTTCGAGGACAGGTCTGTGCAGGGCGCGGCGTTTCAGGTCCAAGGTGTTCGGGCGTCTTCGTCTCGTGTCTCGGCGGTGTTCCAGCCTCGGGAGGCTCTTCAGCAGCTGCGCCGCGCCGAGAGCGTTCCCGGGGTGCCCGGATCGTTCCGAACGGACGCCGGAGAGCCGAGCGTTGTCCTGAAAGCCAGGGGGCAACGTTGGCGGGGGGGAGAGGCTTAGGGGTGGATGCATCGACCCCTAATCGCCCATTGATCGCAAGTAGGGGCCCAATAGCCCGCCCCGCCCAGGAATGTGGCGGTGTCGCTATTGAGCCAGTCACCCCCTGTCGTTTCCCCTCAGGGCTTCGAGGATATGTGTCGCACTGCTTGGGCTTCTTGAAGGCCGTTCGTGACCACGGCTGGAGCCGCTTCGAAATTCTAGCCACAACGGATCCCGTGGTGGGCCCAGGGGTCGGCTTTGACCACTGGATCCCATGCGTCCTCGCGCCATGAGCAAAAACGACTGAGTTGTTTTGACAACTTTCGGTCTCCAGGGGGGCTCATACCAGTCTGCGGGACTGTCAGACTTGACATTGGGTCAGGGTGAAACGCCAGTCCAACGGGAGCTGGGGTCCACGTTCATCGGAGGTTGATAAGCCTCCTACCCTGACACGTCGATTAGCGAATTGGCCGTTTTCGGTTCGCGAGAGGGCGTCGCGGCCGTCATTTTTGCGGGTCCAGGTCCGTCGGTTTCGGTCCCGGGCCGCTCTCACTACAGGGCGGTTTATTAAAGGGAGGCTCGTCCACCGCCGAGTTAGGAGAAGGCATGCGACCTTGAAGGTCGAGGAGGACGATCTCGAGGAGCACAGCACAGAATGAGTGCACTTTGTAGGAGGTCCGCGCAGGTCGGTGCTTGGCCGTCCCTGGCGGCGCCTCAGGCCCTGGCGCGCTCCGCGCGCCACGGGGGGGAAAAGGGGTCCAGCGTCGTCCAAGGAAATCGAAGCGGACCTTCGACCACAGCTGCTTGATGCCGTTTCTGTTCTTGCCGAAACGAAGAGGATCGGGGAAACGTACGGCTCGAGTAAACCGGAACTCGGGCTAGCCGACGTTTTTTGACGAGCGCGTCCTGGAGTTTGACGGTCCCGTTTCGTGGGATGTCTGGAGCGGGAGCTCGCGTCACATTTCAGATTTGGTCTCGTCATTTTTATGATGGCCCCGTCGGGCCAACCCGAGTCTCCCGTCCCCGAGTCGTGCGTCTCCCCGAGAGAAGGGGGGAAGACGTTTGTGTGTGCCCACCGCGTGCCGATCGCGGCTCCCAGAGGTGTGGCGGGGGTCTGGCCAGTCTCCCGCAGCGTTCCTGCCTGCACAGCGAGCACGGGGGCGCGAGACGCAGAAGGTCACCACCTACCAAACCACCCCAACCCAACCCAAAGGCCTCCATTTGCCCTCCATTTCCAGTGGGGGGGGGGGTCGGGGAACATCGAAAAAACACGAATGGAACCCATACCCCCCCCAACCCGAAATTTGGGTCTTCGGGTTAGGGTTGGGAAGGTCTGGTAGGTAGTCAGAAGGTGGTGTTGGGGACGGCCCCTGGTCGAATGCGATTGTGGCTTCTGCTGCTGCGGACTTCAAGGGAGCAGAAGCGTGCCCTGCGCCCATCAGAAATCTTAGGAACAGCGGCGACTTTCGTGGACTCCAGGTGTCGTTTACGAAGGCCGAGAGTCTGGACTGGACCCTGGGCATTTCCTTGCAGTCTGTCTGCCGCGTAGCACTTTCGCAGACCTGGACTTGGACCACTGGCCAAAGAAAACGCTTGAGGTGAAGTACATTCTCTCAGCCTCGTGTTTCCTTCACTCCAACAGCAGTCGGGGGTGGACAGACCTCCTACCCTGACACGTCGACTAGTGAATTGTCCGTTTTCGGTTCTCGAGAGGGCCCCTCGGCCGTCACTTTCCAGGCTTGCGCCCCCCAGGTTTGGGCCCGAGGTCGTTGTCACTAAACCGCGTTTTGCTAAAGGGAGGTCTGCCCATCCCCGAAGCGGGGGCGTCGAGCAGCCGTGCCCCGGAGAAGGGGCCCGCGTGGGGCCCACCCGGGGCGCCCGGCGGGCAGGCTTTCGGGCGCGCGCCGCGGGCTCCGGAGCTGCGGCCTCGGCGGCGCCTCAGCAGGGGGCGAGAAGTTCTGCCTCCGACGTCGTGCTCGCAAGTTGTGCGTGTCGCTGCCTCCTCCTCTCGGCCGTCGCTTCGTCGTCCTCTCCTCCCCTCCTGCATGGCTGGGGGCCCCAAGAATATACACACCAAGAATATACCACCACGTCGATTCCTCCCTCCGCTAGCCTCCTCTTCCTCTCCTCGCTCCTGGGAGAGGGAGGGCGTGAGGGAGGCGGTGGTGGTGTATATGCTTGGGCCCCCCA